AAATCAATCCACCGTTTAATAATTTACACATGAAAATTAAAACTTAAAAATGCAATAAACAAGAGTGAAGTTCTTCTAAAGATACTGACACAAATCTACAATTAAGTGCTATGAATCATGACATGTTGACGCCTAGAATTATTATAATTAAAACCGTGGCGCGTAGAACTGATCCACGTACAAATTACAAATACATTACATATCGTATGCATATTCCGCATCTTGTACCGTAACGACACTAGCTGAGCTAAGAGACTCACCGCTTGGCATTCAAGCATAAATTAATTTATGACAATTTGTTACCATGATCGAAATGTCGAAGTCAAACAAGAGCTCAGCTAAAACCTCACGGTCGCATTAAAACCCTAAATAAGCGGACATCCTCACTGTTTGTCACTCCCGCTGTGCACTTTATAAGTAGCTCTTAATAAGTTATAAGTATATCAACTATTTTATAATAACTCATCTCTACGAATGACACAGGGTATCTCAAGATAAAAGAGTTATTCGATTTTAATTACATACTTAGTGATGGTGCTAGGAACTTAAAGCAGCCTTGTTTGCGATGTTGCGCGTTTTACGCTCGAGATACCTGTATTTTCACAGCTAAAGTAACTATTTGAGTCAACCTTAATGGTTTTACATAAGATGCACCTGGCCGCATACAGACATAGCTAGGTACGGAATTCTCTGAAGTATTTCACATTCCAGTTGCAGCAGCGCGAGCGTAGAGTTGGATTACAATATTTCGTGTCGTTTTTCGTAGCCTCCCGCATGAATTTTATTGCGTCGAATAAACGATATTTGTTGGGTTTGGGTACCGCAAGCCTTTGCGATATCTGTTCACGACTTAGCATAAAATACCATTTTCTAAGTTTGCCGGAATAGGATTCGCAAGAAATTAAAAACAAAAAAGGAGATGCACAATTATTCTTAAAAAAATCACTCAACATATGTGACGACACAATTGATAGATCAATAGAAACACTGTTGTTACATGTAATTTCCCACGTGCTGCAAAATATAGATTAAAAAGGAAGCTTTCAAGACTTCAAATTTGTTTTCAAATATTCGTGTTCTTCATCTAAGCAAAATTCACGCAAAGTACAAGTAAATCATTGTTATATCAATTGTGTCGTTTTATAATCAATCGCACGTACAGTTAGATATTCTTAGCCAATTGTTCCACTCTTGTGTAAATTGTTTAAGAAACCTTAAAAGCTACGTACGTGTTAAGAGAACCAAAATAAATTATTGTCAATTACATGAACTGATATGATAATAATAATAATAATAATAATAATAGTGGATTAAGGTGTTATCATGACGCAACACAGCGACTTTATCATGATTACTATTCGCATAATTACTTGAAATAATATAATATAGGTGTAATAAATAACACGGGACACTATACGTCATGTATCTACTTTTAATCAAGCGAGGGAAAAGGCTGATCGAAATTAATTTAGTACCTGCTTTCGTACATAATATACAATCTAAAAAAATCTCATTTTAATGTATGCACATTGTTATAAGAAGTATATGACGAGTAATATAACTCATTTGTATAAATACGTAGACCAAATAAAGTTATTTCAAAGATCTATAATTCGTTACTTTGCCTTAGTCTTGAGGCATTGCAAAAATTTTATTTATACTATGAAACTAATTCAAAAAGCTGTAATTATTGTAAAACATTTTTTACAAACCGGTACAGTCCAAAAGTATGTTATACATATTCTGTCGTATTAACTTTGAATAATCTATGTACCAGGAGTTGCAAATATTCAATTTCATTGCTAGAATAAATATTATGTTGAGTATTTTACTATTCCCGTATAATAAATGAAGTTCCAATATGGTTAATAGTATTTTTAAGCATATAAACTAATAAACATAGCGCTTTCTGAGCGAGTACATTTCGCGGGTCTTAAATATTGCAATCACCGTATAAAAAGTATAACGAGAAAGGATATCAAGGAAATGCTTTGAGAGTGTCCTAAGAGGAAATGCATATTTATTGTACCTAAACATTGCTAACTAGTGATGTAACGGATACGGAAAGGTCTCGTTCTCGAGACCATCCATCAAAGGACGAAAATGGTAAATTTCATATGCAAAAGACTGAATAGCGAGTTCGATATTTCTGTTATCAGACGAGGTCAATTCATATGTTGTATTTATTTCATTCGTATTCACATTTAAAATATAAAACGTTTTGGTATCTATACAAATATATTAATAATGCTATTATAACAAGTAAAAATTAAAATAAGTGGCTGTAGTTCGCATTTATTCCGTTTGCCACCTTAGATTTGTTTGTTTAAATTAAGTTTGTGTTCTCTAGGGTTATTTATCTCCCTTGTTTATTTAGGTAACGTTACACTGGCCTAACGTAAACAAGCCTAGGTTTGAACACGTTACGGTAAATTATATGAACAATATTTCATTCCACTTGCTTACAATTCCGCGTGGGTATAGTTACACCATTAAGTCAACTACTGCTACACGAGGATATTACGCGTAGATTCTGGACGGCGGCGCTCATTCATCCGCGTCGATGTCTGTCTTTAAACTCAGGCTATCAGGTGTAAATATTACAATAATTATTCGCGGTTATTTTTCACAGCTGTAGTGTAGAACAGAAACTCAATTCGGCCAAATTCGATTTAGTTATTCAAACTTGTATGTGTATGATTTCTATGCAAAGTTTTGCTTCTAAAAGGGGGCATTCATGACCGTGCATTGCAGTCCGACTAGTTGCAGCGTGCAAGCCATCCAGTAATCCTGCAATGCGACTTGCAGGACTCCAAACGTAGGCCATTTGCAGGATAGTGTGTGAGCAGTCTCCTGCCTGCGCAGCGGACTGCAATGCGGGTAGTGAATGGGCCGTTTATGTAAAAAAAAAAGAGTGCTCGTTTCCCTACCCGTGTGATTTTCTGATGTTAAAAAAGTATCCATTATCCGTTACATCACAATTTTTATACTGATGCCAAATATCAATATTTGCTTTCTGTTATAAAAAATCCATAAACAAAGAAGAAAGATATTCCAATATTTCTGAATTGAAACTTAAGGGCTCCTACTTTATGACGAAAGAAACAAGTAACGTTGAATGACTAACACGGATGATTTGCCTGCGTTAGGGAACTTGTGTGTGTAGTAAAGTTTTGTTCTTTAAATTTCAATGAAGGAATAGTAAAAACGTTATTATAACAATACAATCGACAAGACGTCGCTACTTTACAACCCTACTATAAACATGATGATTATGAAAGTATTACAAATTCTATTCCCGAATATTCTGCTAGATAGTTTACGAGTCAGATATATAAAACTCTGGGAGCGCGCTAGAGTAGATAAACGCTTACAAAGGATTAATTTGGTCAGATATAGAAAAGTCGAGATTTTCATAAAAACTTATTACCGAACAAATTGGGGGACACGTGTATCTACAGCCAAAGTGAGTAATGTCTCGAACCGAGAGTTGAGGCGAACCACAAGCCCATTCAACCATAAGGTTCATTTTTCATTTCTTCATTTAGTTTGGTATCCGGTAGATATCGATCATTTTGAAGCAAGGCTATTTATTTATAATACATGCTCGATTGTGACAAAATACATTGCGTAGTTCGGTGACGTAACGCTTTCTGCATTGCTTGCGCACATTGGGTCAATCCGCGACCCTTCGTGAAACGCGCAATTGCATCGCTACATTTTCGATTTATAGGCGATTGTATCGATGCAGTCGCGCGTTTGTATCGATGCAGTCGCGAGTTTGCATGTTGCTTAAAGTCGCGCGTGTGTGTAAAGGTAGACAATTAGCGACTGCCTCGCTACTGCATCGCGTTTGCATCACTGCTAAAAGTCGCCGTGTTTAACAGCTCTTAAATGCAACTAACACCAAATGTTAATTCAAGCTTATCTTAATATATCGTAGAAATCCACATTATTTCAGCCGCATTGTAGAGATTAGCATGCACAAACGCCATTGACCAACCAACAAATGGACGACGGGTGTGATACAAAAACCACGAAAAAATTGCCCAGAGGTAACTTATAAAAAACGTAGTTACATGCAAGGAAATATAAAAAAACTAAGACATTTAAATTGTAACGTCATTGCAGCACTGCTCAATTCTGAATGCAACAAATTTAAAGACCTAAAAATTCATCATAATATTATTCAGCTTCTACTGGGAACTTAATAATATAACACCATAGGAAATGAAACTAATTTCCCGGATTTTAATTTCCTATATATATGTAACAATCGCGAAAACCTACGAACTCAACAAATATAAACCATAATGCTCTATAGGTGCGGACATTTTTTAGCGGGGACCCGACGTCCATTTATTGATACGTCATTGACAAACGCAGATATTCATTTGTATTTTGTAATTTAGTTTAATTTCGTAGTTGCCATCTTTGAAATAATTCTGTCACAGAGCAAGAAAAATTAGTAACACCAGTATGAGTATGTGTTAGTACTGCAATTGCCTCAACTCCCTGTGCGAGATCCATAGCATATTGACTTTTCAAAACAATGGGGACATTTAAAAAAAAACATTAATTGAGTTAAATAACGCCTTTTTAATATGAATTGAAACCTACGAAGGTTTAAAAGATACAGACAACTTCATTAAAATAGCTTATTCCCTAACTTCATAATCATAATAGGGTATTTGACTCAAAATGTCTTATTGCTTCTCGCAACTCACATGAATACGCCGAAAATGAATCTAAAATACGGTTTTGCTGATCTCAACTATCACCACAGATATTAATGGTTCAAGTCAGTGATGGGGGTCTACTCTGTCCCTTTTTAACAAAACCATCATTAATACGCAACTTGTAGGGCGTTCTTAGTTATGACGACACAAACAAATATAGCAGTTTCTTTTTAACTATTAATTTATGAATGTCTTCAACTAAGGCTCAATTTATATTGCGGCGGAACGGAATGGAAGCTAATTTTCGTACAAACTAGATGCGCGCCAAAATATGCCCGGAATGCGCGAGCATTCTCGAGCATGCGCGAGAAATCCGCGGAAGGATATGGCTCGTATCTAGTTAGCACGTTACACAATTGACCATAAGTTAATTATGCTATGTACAATATCGTTACAAAAATTCGCTTCCAGTCCGTTCCGCCGCAGTATAAATTTAGCCTAATTGTCAAGACTTCAATTCTGTTCCTACCTTTTCTATTTACGTCTGCGAACAAACAGTTCTGTATTTTATACACTTGTCAAATTCCGCAACGTTTGAATTTTTAGATATCTGTCAAATACCCTATTGTATTGTAATATGTTATGGAATGACACATACAATAGGGAAGTAAACGAAAAGGCCGGGACAGATGGCGCTGCAGACGCTTCACCCATATCAAAGAACGGTCGTAATAGTCGTAATAGGTCGTAATACTAATCTTAACTAAGTAAATAGACCACTTAAAATTCATTAAATAAGGTTGACTAATTCTTTTACAATTCTCTAAGCTATTTAACAACACGAATTCTAGATGTTTTTTTGCAATTTTCCCTTTATGGATCTTTATCAAAACAGAAGATTTCGATTACTCGAGACAACACTACATATCGCACACCGGTTTCAATACTGACATAACTGAAAAATTGCAAACACGAAAGACAAGTGAAAATGTGATGTCTATTTTTAATATAAAATAAAATGTTACCGTCGTCATAAGTGGTATCTGTTAACTTGAGATTGAGTATAAGTTGTGATAAGGACGTTCTGCGCGACGCGCCCTTAACAATTAAAAAAAAATCCCTTTTGATACTGTTGAAGCTGGTGTGCGATATGCTTAAGACAAATTCAAGATTAAGTACAATATCAGTTAACTATGGAGAATTGAAGATATCATTCCTTTTTACGCAAGTTTCTTTAAGTACAAAGCAATGCTGTACTATCGTAATTTTTACAAGTTGTAAACAAGATACTATAGAATTGTTTTAATACGAGAAACAAAGGCCTATTAAAGGCCTATTCATATGCTATGTTTGTGGAACCGCATGAGTTATGGTACGAGTTGCACAATTGTACAAAACCGACGCAGACATAAAATTGCATGTTACCTCACGTGTTGCGAGAGTTCGTTCTTGCTTATAAAAGCCGTGCAACGTTTGAGAGCAACGTCTACGCGATATAAAATCATGACGGAGAAGCTTGAAAATTGGAATATTTATTTCCGCATATAGCTCAAGTGTGGTATAAATTAAAAAAGCTAATTAGAGTTGTATATATAAGAGTACCTATGTTTAGGTAAATTAAAAAATATTGTCTTTTTCATTATTTAACATATCAAACTCGGGTGTTTAAAAATGCACGAAAAAGCCAATGTCCTTCATTTGTTAAACTAAATTATACAGGAAAAGTACGAATAGATAAGATAGAGAAGATGCTAGTTTCGAAAATTTTATGTCGATAAATAAAATTTCATGTCACCCTTCAGTTCACAGAAGTAAATGTGTAATTTCAGAATGCTATCAGTTTTTGTAAGTACTATTTCAATGTCAATTGACAACTGTGTTGGGTGAAACGTAAGTAGCGCCCCCTAGCAATGGAGTTAAACCTTTTCTTCCTCACTGAATGCGACAGTGCCTGTTATCCCAACGAGAAAATTACGATTATCATAAGTTACATACCCGAACCATCAAGATTTTAACAACGCAAATATTCTTTGGTAATTTTTGAAAATAACTTGGATTAATACACTAAACAGCACGTACATTACGCTGAGGACTAATCGACAAGAAACGGAAACAGGATAGCTCAAGGGGTGTAGAACCAATGATCATCTTTATAAAGTTAGTAAGGCAACAAAATCGAGTCACATTGAAATAAATGTTTAACTTTCCAAGATCACAGAAGCGGTAAGAAAGAGGCTTTGAAAGACGCCACTAAAAATCGTCAAGCTGCCTTGTGCGAGAGGGACGCGTTGGGAGTGGTTGAACAGCGTAAGGTGATGTCGAGTCGCCGCGGGGTTTGCGACCATTCACATAAGGAACTTGCCGATGATGATGCCAAGAATCGCCATGCCTACAGCGGTGATGAGCCACGGCATCATAGCCACCTGTGCGTTTTTCTCCGGTCCGTACGAGTGACGACGCTGAAGGCGACCATCGCCCGCCGCCTGACGAAGACGCAGCAGCTCTTCCTGTAACCCGGTACATATATTTTAGCAACCTTTACCTGTGTTGTATAGAACATGATGTTAAAATCGCCAGTGCATGGTTTAGTTACTCAGTTCATAAGGCAGAAATTACGAAACGCAAAGCTCTACGTAACGGACCTTTGGAATGATTACTTGTAGTGAAATCTTATCATATATCAAATCGAAATATTTCTGAATGTACAACATACGCAGATATGAACATTGCATTTGACCCGGAACTTCAGTAACTAGGCCTTTCATTTATTTAAAAAAAAAAAGAGTGAACGACAAAGAGAAAGATTAAGAAGTAATAACACAAGATAAAATAATAATCATAAACACTCCAATTATTAAAAAAAAAAATTATCGAATACACTCGCTAGGAAAGATAGCAACATTCAGAATTTAAATTCATAGAGAAAATGAAATAATTTGTTTTGGGTCTAAATAGCGTATATTTGTGTTTCAAACAAACCAACGTTTTGGGACTTTTACAGGTCAGTCAGCCGTGGTCATGGGATCTGTAAAGGGCCCGAAACATTTGTTTTTTGAAACACAAATAAACCCGAAAAAAAATTGTTTATCTACACACATACCATAAACCCTCTAAGATGTGTTCAAAAACTGCAAGTTACGGCCAGCATAAAAATAAACTGTTTTGTTAGACCAAGTTTCTTGTCAGTGAAAATGTTATTATTGCTTCATAATAACATCAAATTCGATTTTTTTATTACATTCAAATTTCGAACATCTCTGAAAAACAAAACAATTTGATACAACTTCAGTTCTAATATCAGTTGAGATCTTAATTCAAAAAGAATTGGTCATTGGTCGAGATGAAGAAGATTTATTCGAAATGAAATAGCAAACAATTTTGACAAATTTCACATGTTACTTGCTATCGAACGATGTGATAGTTGGGGCCGACTCTAGCTTGTCTATGAATTTAAAAAAAATTATGGTTGTGTGACATGCGTGAGAAATGTTTTTATTTGCCGCCATTTGACCAGTCGTAACATGCGGTTCCCGAAGACATCATAGAGAGCTTATAATAAACGTGTTTAGATAAAGCAGTGTCTGTAACTGTACATCATTAGGCATTAAAACACTCGTGTGATTTATTTATGAAAATCTTTATCTCTATCGTATTTTAATGCCTTTCATTATGTAACAGTCACATAAACTACTATTAATTTCATATGTGTTGTTACACACATGAAATTAAAAGTAAAACTACTATTAATTTCACATGTGTTGTTACACATATGAAATTAATAGCAGTTTATCGCGAAAACGCGAAATGAATCTTTATGATCATTTGTGTAACATACAAACTAGATACAAGCCAAAATCTTCCGTGGACTTCTCGTATCTAGTTTGTACGTTACACAATTGAACATAAAATTCATTATGCTATGTTATAAAAATTCGCTTCCATTCCTTTCCGCCGTAATATAAATTGAGCCTTAGTATTTATTTAGGCTGGCCAAAAACCTAGACTCCAATTCTGCTAAACTTCTTGAAACAGCAGCTGGTCATTGTAATTCCACTGAGACTATAATTGCAGTTATGACAATGTTTGCTATTCTGCTAAAATCTAGTTGCAATGGCAATTGAGTTTCAATAGAATGTCAGTGGATTGGCAGTGATGACATCATCCATTCAATCACTAACTATGGATTTTGCCTGACTAAAAACCACTAAAATGCATAGAAACTATTGTGCTTAAGTTTTACGTCGTTTAAGCAGCATTTTAGTTTTCAAATTAAATGTATTTTTTCATTACAAATAATCAGTAGACTACGTCATCGATGTCGCCTCGACTCGCCATTTAAAAGCCAAACACCCCAAAAATTGCAATGACATTAGAGTAGTAGTTCGATGGCTAACCAATGGCAAGCTACTCTTAACTTTAAGCAGACTTGGGGCCCAACTTAACTTTAATTATGAAGGGTTAGTTCGTGACACCGTCAAAGTTATAACCTTATAATAATTACAACAACCAGATTATTGACAATGAATATGACGATGACGCCTTCAAGAGGAATATGTTTTAGAATAGACCAGAGTAGTGTCACGATCAAAGCGTGGGCGGTTGGCGATGATGATTCATAGCATCGATATGCAGGAAATATCTTTATGGAAACAATTCGCTATGACGTAATAGTAATAATAAGTAATAATAAATAATAGTGTAAATATAATTTAACAAACGGTTAGTGTCAAGTGTTATTGTCAATCTGGCATTGGCATCCCACGACATTTAAAACACCACATTCATGTTATTGAATACATTTGAAGTTTGTTCGGAGTTGCGAAGTTGGAGTTTTGTCGCTAAATCACGAGAGAAAATATCAATACATTCGATCTCAAGGGGAGTAAACGCCTCTTTATGTTAATTGTTTTATTAAAATGATATTTAAGTATCTCTTTAAAAAAACTTTGTTGATCAAACTGCCTCTGAATTCTATGCTATGGCTCTAGAATGTAATTAAATAAAGTGTAAGTGACAATTTTGATAAAACATTATAAAAGAGTAGAACATTTCTGAGTTTCATTGTTTCTTTTCTTCTAAATATGCCCAAATTATCAATCAATTCTTTCCTGGCATAAATTCAATCAGAATTACTGCAGTCATGTAATCTAAAAGTATCTTCGAACAGAAAAACATGTTATTACAAAGACCTTGATGTACACTCAACAGTTCGTCACTGGTTCTGTGGCTTTATAAAAAATATCATACATTTTAAATTGTAAAAACACTTTTACGAATCTAAGTATGAAATAAATAAATATTATAATATTACTGTCGTGTTCACTATGTACTGGATTCCTGGGACTAATTTACTGTTTCAAGCACTCGCGTAAGTGACAGTTGTCTATAAAAGTAAAGAGAATAAAGTATCTTTGAATCTAAATAATGATACGAACAAATGCAATTTATTCACAGTTACATTTTCTATCTAATATTAAAGTAAGTATGTAAGTATTTGGATATTTTAAATTTATTCCCGTAAAATGAACGCACATTGCCAAACACGTACTATCCGGTTAACGAAGCTGAATTGCAATAGTCATTGTAAGTCTTGATTCGCTGAGCAATAAAATTAATTATTAAAGTAAATTAAATATAATTTATATGCTTTAAATAGGGTGGGTACCTTATAAATGTTGGTGGTAAAATATGATTGTAGAACTAATTCTCTAAATCGTATTTAGACTTAAATAAGAGCATGCAAATATACAATACATTAAGAAATTGATTGATATATAACCTAACCTAGCCTCCGGTTAAAAAAACCGACCTAAAAATCATTCATCCCCTAGTTCGCCACCCTTAGAGGTGGAATATTTTTTTGAAATTTAAATGGGACCGACCACATCTGAGGTACCTTCTTTCCAACAAAAAAGAATCATCAAAATTGGTTCACAAATGGCAGAGTTATCGCGTAACATACATACAAAAAAAACAGACGAATTGAGAACCTCCTCCTTTTTTTGAAGTCGATTAAAAACAATACTCGATTTGGGATCACCTTTATAAGTATTTGAAAAAAATCGTCAATCGAGTAGAAATAATATCACTTTTAAATCTAGTCAAAGGAAGGGATTTAAATCGAACCGGAATTTTGTTAAAAACTTTTCCACACATTGCATAACAGTTTCTTTGAAAATATTTTGTCTTAGGGATTGTGCCTAGTATCACTTTGTTTGGGTTCCTTAGGCTCCATTTATATTGCGGCGGAACGTCACGCGCATGCTCGAAAATGCTCGCGCAGTCCGCGGAAGATTTTGGCTCGTATCTAGTTTGCACGTTACATAGTTGACCATAAAGTTCATTATGCCATGTACAATACCGTTACAAAAATTCTCTTCCATTCCGTTCGGCTGCTATATAAATTGAGCCTTAGGCTTCTAGCAGTTACATAAAATAATCATAAAATAATAAGGACGTAAGAATATGGCCTATAAGAAACTGGTACAAGCACTGCACTGGCAGACTGGATCCGTTGTTAGGTAATAGTTAGAATAATTATAACATTCGCTATATTCAAGGCATAATCAATTTGCGCTTCACTTGACTTGCCGCCTTCGGAAAACTAACATTTATAAAAGTTAGTTTATAACACGCTCAGCATTAAAATATGAAATGCGCGCCATAATAACAAAGAAAAACGACACGCCTTGCACGTAACAACATTTATGATTATATCATGTTAAAAAAAAAAAAAGAAAAAACTTACTTTTAGCTGCAGATTTTCTTGTCTTAATTTGCTTTCTTCCTCCCTCAAAAGAATCACTTCCGAAGCTGCATTTTGCAGATCATTATCTGCAGCCTGGAATGACACAAATTAATAAAAATAAAACTTTTACAGGTGCTAATTGTAACTATCCACAATTGCAGAAAACAATGAAAATTTTTGCAAATAAAAAATAAACATGCTTTTTCAAAAGTATCCACAAACATGCTTTTTTAAGCTAGAAACTACAAATGACAATGAGAAGCGCTCAAGTAGGTTTGTTTTGGTAAATCGTCAAATATGATAAGCTGGTAATAGTATATTAGAGAAAGATAAGCGTGCTTTCTCTTCAATTTATTTTACGTTTAAAGAAATAAATTCCCCAACTGATTGCCGTAATATAGGTACCTCGTCGCTGTTGTCATCAATATTGTTCTCATACGTTAAAGCCATAAATACTTACGTACCGTCATATTGATTGTACATTTTTCTACTAGTATTTAATTTTTGTTTTTTTAGTCGACTTCTAAACATTTATTTACCTACTTACTCTAAAGATAATAGTTCATACTATTGTTGGCCGTTTTAACGTTAAACGTCCAACAATACATTGGAAAAAATCGTTTACCATTTTAAAACGAATATTCCTACATATTGGACTAAGCAGACCTATTTGCAAGGCGACCGTTTACAGCGTTATCAACTAAAATATAAATAAAAATTAAGAAAGGGTACCGTTTTGAAAATTCCAGATGTGTCATCACCCTTCCGCTTTGATTCGTTATGGATGAAACCTTCTACGGCATCCTGTAAGGGTAACACCTGAAATATTATTAGTTCCAAGTTAACTACATTTTACCTACTCTAATTATAGTTTATATTTCGTTTGGTTTATATTCCGACAGAAATAATTATTTGCCGTTTGTCAAATAAAAGCTAACAAAATTAAAATTTTAACAGCTTTCAAAACAGGTGGCGTCCCTTGAATTGTGTATGTACATATTTTCTACGTATGTTCTGGTGTAACTCTTGAAAGGGTTCTTCCGAGGTGGTATCATGTAAATTTAGTAACAATCTGTCGTTATAATATACACACACAATATTTCGAAGATACAACTAAATAACACATCGATGCCCGTTTCTTCGGCCTTTAGGCCTCATCAAATTAATACAAGCGATTACTTAAAATTAATAACAAAATGTTGTTTTCCTAATATTTTAATTTTTTGCTAATTGAGAAATTGTTTGTGGTTTGTCCATGCGATCTTTTCAGCAATGGTAAGACGCATAGAAAGTGTCCTCTGTCTGATGTGGTCCATAAGAATATTTATTGCAATAATGCGATTTTATTGCTATTGAGTACCACTGCTCCACTGCACCTCCTGCGATTCTAAACATGCTAAATCTCGCGTTCTAAATCCTAAAGTATTTCAGATGTAAGAAATGCACAGGTTAACCGTGTTCCATCCCGTCATCCAATATAGAATGGAATGCGATACAAGATACAGAATTGCAAAACACAAGGAGTCTTCATTAAAACGCGTGGTAACAGTACTAAATAGTTTCGTTCTCTCTTCCTTATCTCAAATACTTTGATTTAAACACAGTGCTCATAGACATTTCACATTATTATAATACTTTTCTCGCTTATGCCGACCAAAGGCCAACGCTATCTGGCGATGTCTTGCGTTGACTACCGTAATGGCTTAAGATGCTGACCTTTCGGTTGACAAAAGTTGGTAAAATTTCAATATTTGCATCCTAGGTAGATGCACTATTGCACATGAAACCAAAAACTGTTGTAACTCAAAATTGTGGAGTTGAGAAAACACGACATGAAAATTTAAAAAAAAAGAATCTTATTGAGAATTAAGTGATTATTTTTATTTATACATAAACGAGAATATACATTTATTGGTCTCAGTTTTTTTAGTTTTAAGAACTATCAAATCGTCTTATCTTATAATCTCAATTATGAGTTAGGACAGGTTTAATGTGTGATATACTACACTATTTTTCTAGCTAAGATTATATTGAAATCCGGTCGCCTACAATCGAATTTCCGGGAGTTGATACCATATACAATTTAACGACCGTGGTGGCCTGACGGTTGGCACTGTGGGCTCTGAATGTGGAGGTTCCGGGTTCGAGGACCAATTTGCCAAAAATTTACTTTTCTAAATTGATTGAGTGAATTCGGTTTCTTTCGTACTCAGTACGGGGAATTCTCTAGTTTGAGGTTGTCTGGCTCACAGAAACGATTTCATTTATCACCAGAAATAGAGACAAAATGTCATTTAATTTGTTTGAAAATGTACTGCCAAATCAAACTTTCGCTTCGATTGGCCAGCCTAAATTCGAAACAATTGACGGGTGTAGTCAATTGTTTCATTTCAAATCGACCAGTTTAATAATATCGCTTTGCTATAATGGACGATGCTGAAAAATAACATATTTAACATTTAATTACCGATGAAACGTGATTCCGTTTGTTTTGTAATTAGATGTTTTTTGATATTATCTTTATTACAATAAATACAGAATATTTATGGAATATACGGAGACGTACACACAGGTCAGTTGTTGGCGCTGTTCTGTTTTAGTTGTCTAATTTGTGATATCAGCGCAAACGAGAGTTGATATTTAAAGTGATATTAGTACCACTTGACTGATGAGTTGCCAGGGATGAATGGCCCTTATTTGGTCTCTATTTCTGGATATGACTCGATATCCCCATCAAATATAATATTCTAACTTATCCTTCTAACCCAGACTGAAAAATTGGAATTAATTAGAGGTCAATTAGTCCGAAGCTAGTAAACAGTCTAAAATTTTATCATCATAAATTAAATTTTTCTGAACAATGAAGATTCTACGAAGCAGATGAAACCACATTTTAGAAGATGTGCGCCAAGATGGAAAATTACGTAGAACATCATAATTAACCTGCAATCTGCTGAGGTACTCGAGGTCAGTAGCAAACTATATACAAAAACAATTACCAGGTATTTTAATAGCTGCAATCGTAGCTATGATACCTAATACTAGAAGTGTACAATACAGCTGTATTATTATTGTAGGCAAAACGTCTGCAGGTTTAGGTACCTGTATGTGTATAGATATAAAGTTACACTACATTTCACGTCGTCGTCATTGCATTGTAATAAATAATCGAGTGAAGCAATTAACACAAATGGTCACACTTAACTTTCCCATAATTGATTCTTGACTGTAAATTAAGAGAATTTCATATTTTACTTTTAGCTCAGTTAAAGAAGTTGTACACAAAAAAATATTTAAATCACTTTTAGTGCTCAGTTTTTGAAATAGAAGCTGAAAATAAAATATTGAGCAATAATTAATCCCGCAAACTTTCTTCACCACAGCTAGTTTTGGCAGGCAGAAATCTCTTCGAGGGATAAGTTCGCCTTTGGGTATCGCACATGAAACCAAATATTGTGGTAACTCAATATTCCGGAATTGAGAAAACGCAATTTGACAAAAAAAAAAAAGAAAAGATACTGCATTGATCTTATTGCGAGTAATGATTATTTTTGTTTATACATAATACTTACTTATCCATTTATAAAAAAAATACATAGATTTTTTTTTAATTTTCAAATCGTGTCCTCTCAATTCCATAATTTTGAGATACGACAGATTATTTTTCGTGCACTATATGTCTTTTGTATTAAGCAATAAATGATTAATTTGAAAAAAGACTTTTGTGCCTCGCCACAAAGCGCTCAGATCTAACATTCAGGGACTTGTAATAAAGTTTACCACTTAACTCCTCCTTGAATACTTTATAATTTCCCGTTTGGAGTCGCTTTTTGAGCATTTGTTATTATCCTTTACGCAAATTTATAGGTATTGGATACGGTATAATAAGAAACATTCATTGTAATTAGTGTTGTAGAAATGCATGTAAAAATTTTATTTCTTAATCATGTTATCTCTGACAGTTTAAAAAAATGTGTGCGTAGAAAATGGGTACGTGCAAATAAAACAAAAAAAGCCCGTATTTACTACACCCAATCGTACAGTCTATATACCAATGACGAGCATGCGCAATGGATTCCTTCCGTTATATTTAAGGAAAAGTGTTCATTGGCTTGGTGTTAAAATACCCATTGTACGCGTACGTACAGAGATGCGTATAAAACAAAACGATATAAAGACAGATAACGCTACAATAAATTATTGTTTTGCAAGTGCATTTTTTTTCCCACTATAATATTTTCCTTCTTGTGCCTTAGGGCTATAGGGTTTGAAAGACATTTCCAACATATTACACACAATTTTACTCTGCATAGTCGTTAGCAACCACGTTCTGTACACAGGTGTTTCACCACCTGAGACATTTATTGAAATGCGTATAGCTTAGATTACTTTAGCATTTCTTATATCTTGAATAGAAATGCCAATGTGTATATTTCACTGATTGTAAGTTAAGGAGGAATCCTTTGCTACAAAAGCAAACACTTAATTGTACACAAATATAGTAAAAAATAAAAAGGTAAGATGGGTGCACACAAACTAATATCATGTGATTGTTTTTGCTTAAGTATGTTAATAGCAAAAATATGTAAAGGCAATGAATGCTCTGTCAGATATCACAACACTTTCTCAATAGGCTTTATATTTTCTTAAGAATTTGTTTGTGTTCACCCTTGCAGCTCAAATCATCTCATATTATACTAGCTAGTTACTTACCTTTGTTGATGTTTTCCCTTCCTCAGACACAGCCACTCGCTTCTTAGCAACTTCATTCTGAGCAGCGGTGTCACCAGAATCCTGTCATGGTAAATAGAATGGCTAAGTTGTGTAAATAGTGTGCTACAACACAATATAATGATGGCATTGTAATATTTTCTGCTTACATTGAGATTAGTGCCACGGGGAGTTTCAAACACACATTTTAACTTGTAGTCCAAAAGCTGATCCGGGGCAATCTCCTTCCACTGCAAAGACAGATCAAGAGTCAATAACTATACCTTAACAATAATTTAAAAGTTATTATGAAATTAAATACATACTACTTGATCTATATTGGTGTTCCCCTCAGGTGCAATGACACTTTGCACCATAAATTTATGTTTATGTTTCTCGTTAGGATCAACATAAACTGGCTGTGGGGTAACTGAAATATGAATTAAAAAATGTGATCAGTAAAGTACCAGTTTTTATAATTGTTAAAATAATTATTAGGATACAACTTACTCGCAATGTCTACTTTGGAATTTGGCTTGAGAACACCAGAGTTAGGACGTACACAATACTTCTTTGGTGCAGTTGTCTTTATTTTGAACAGTACGGTATCAGTGCTCGGGTTTGTCAGTCGCATGTATGTTGTATACCCTTGCTCAAACAGGCCTGAAAAGTCAACTAAAAAAATCAATAATATTGACTATACCACAAAAAACAGGACTAAATAGCAACAGCCTTAAAAACTCCTACACAGAAAGTTGAACATCATACATTTGTCTTGGTTTAACTACCTAGTGCTGACAAAATACCCACTACTACCAGCTGTTAGGGCAATTTGTAAACTTGGCCCTGAGAGAGAAGTTTAAAGTACAAACATGCTACCACAGTATATTTATGTTAAGAAGATTCGCAATTATTTTATGAAAATAATGATAAACATCATATCACAAAGAACTAAAATAAACTGTTCTGGACAGCAAACATCACAAAGTTATAAATTAATTAAAAGGGGCAATGAGTACGCTTCATTAATATGATTCCTGTTGATGTTCAAAATTTGCTATGAAATTTAAAACTATTGTGAAATGAACATGTACAAAAGGCTGAAACTCTATGGTAATGATCAGTTTGATTCTTTGAGTTTGCTTCTACTCGTGAAATTTTGAAATAAATATTGTAAATAATATTTATGAACAAATTTCTATTTAGAAATGTGTTTTGTCTAATATTTATTATATAATATTTCTTATTCTTCTTAGGCGAATCTGCTTACAAATGCATAATGGTATTTAATCCATTTGACAATTTCAAGTGTAATTTATAAAGTATTTTGTATTTCAATCTATAAATGCAATTATGTGGTACCAAAGTGGGTAAACTGGATAATAAGCCGTGAAGTGTCATGATTGTATTGTATTACATTAAGATTGACATTAAAACTATGTGCAGTGCTGAATATTGGTTCTTTTAAGTGTCCTAATTAGTATACCCAATATAAAATGGAGATAAATTCATTTTACTGCAATCCGGCACTCGGGTTTTAATATACAATTTCAAACTTTTAATTAATAGATAAAATGTAGTTATGAGATTTTAAATTTGTAGTTATTCGACTTTCCATGAGTTATATTAAATTTTACTATTGACGAATAGTTGTTTTTTTAGTTGCAAAAAAATACAAAGTTTAATCTTAATATCATATTTTATTAATATTTTAAATTTACTGTGATAGATAAACTGCTTCAATCATATGTGAAAAGTATAAATATGTTATTATCAGAAATGTGAATAGAGAGTGTTTACCAAAAATTCAAGGAAGTGATACAGATAAACACACTCGCAACATGTACCATCTTACAATCACCTAATTTTAAACCATAAAATCAATTCCACTAGTTATTCCTTTGTTGTAATGTGGAAGAGCGGGAGTCCTAACACAAGTATTTTATATATTATACTTAAAGCTTCGAACCATGAAAGCAAAATAAGCAAACATTTCTTTTTATAACAGTGATTAACACCTCCAGGTATTATTAATGATGTAACTATTATTAAAATAGTTACATCTCTACTTACTATTATGAACTTTTTCTTCTAATTACACTACCATAGAGAACTAACTGCTGGTTATAATAGTGTAAAGTAAATTGTGGGATTTCAAGGAAAAGTATCCTCTCTATGTCTATAACTAAATTCAAAGTTTAGGTAAATATACACTGCCTGCTCCAATTTCTGGTTATCATAGTACTAGAGTATATTTTAGACATGTCTGTAACCTGCTAATCTCCATGGTAAACTGAATTTGGTGACTGATCTGGCCTATACATGTATAAATACATAGTGAGTAGCTGTGAAACATTATGAACTATAATGAATTTCATCTCCCGCAATATATAAGTGCAATTTTAAGTACGTATGTACACAGCTCAGATATAATAGATCCCAATAAAATACTAGGACGTGAAATATTATGAACTACTGGCTTCGTCGCCATGGACGGCGCTATTCACTGTCATTGATAAATGCAATAGAAAGAAGTTTCTTCATAATGACTCGCGTACCAAGTAGGTAGGTAGCTACCAATGATCATAATTCACATATATCTATACTACCCACAAATATGGCAGAGCAGAGCGTTTATATTTATTAGCCTAAGTCAAGAGTTGGTTTCAAATTGACATTTACGCTATGGAATAAGGAAAATCTGAAAAAACCGCACCCTGATCAAACGCCGATATCTGGAAATAGAAACTCCATTTGTCAGCAGCTAGCTCGCGACCTATGTATGCTGCTCAAGTCTCAGTGTAGAGGTTTGTAGCTTACGTGCGGTAAAACAATAACAGACTTACCTTTAAACTTTAGTTCGTTTTGCGGCTCTATAGTTAACACCTGGTTAGGCATTTTGTATAAACGTATCAACCCGTTAACAAAATAATTCCCAATGTCGTCCAAAGCGAACGATGAAATGACGAATTCGACATGCGCATTGCGCATGCGCTCTTTTTCTTTTTTTTATGGCGGTTATTCTCAAATTATTTCCGAGTCGAGTTTTGCGGAAACTGAAGCATAGCTATTTTATACCTCAATAAACATTACTTGTGTCTGTTTCATGTACAGCTATGTACTAGTAAGAATATTTTTCTATATTTGACAGCAATATAGAAAAAATATTGAACTTTCAATTAAAGTCTTAAAAATAGTCGATACGAAAATAGACCCCTATGCGAAATGTCGCACATGCGCATTTCCTACTTCAGTCCAACCATGAAAATACGTGCAGCCAGAAAATACCCGGCCAATAATTTATGACCAAAAATCAAAGTATATAAGGGTCGCTAAAAATTAGACCGATGATTCTAGCCCAAACAAACTCGATTCAAACGGAACCCTTTATACTTGAAACACAAATATATGTATACTTTGAGAACTCTTTTTTTTAAATTATTTTACGACTTTGGATTCAAGCTGTTCAGTCGAAATAATAGATTTATTAAACAATGGTCGGGAAAAGGTGTTCCATATAATCCTTTATTTTTTCCATCCTCCTAAGATATAATTATAAAGATATTGTCAAGTTTGAATACGGTTGAATACGTATGTTCGTAAATGCACAAATGATCTACCCATCTCCACTCTATTCCTATCCTAAAAAAATACACTGATTTGAGGGTAGGACATTCCCCGTTTGGACATGTTCTGTCGCAACTATACCGCCCTAGCGAAAGGTCGCTTTGATGCAATATAATCGTAGCAGTTCTCCAATGGATATACAGAAAATCATTTTACATCATTAATCTGTGGGAGATCAGAGTGAGCAGCGCGAAATTCCCTTAACACCTGAGCACTACTACTAACTATCGAAGGAACCACCCAAGGTCAGTCAGTGCGTTCACCTATCCCATTTTAGCCCCGTCATAGCATTGTCCTTCGAGCTGAGTAGTTTGGTCCTTTGAGCTGCATAGCATGGTCCTTAAAGCCGCTTAGCATGGTTCTTTGAACCGAATAATTGGTTCTTCGAGCCGAACTGTAAAAATATAGTTTTGTAAAAATAATATCTTTTTTTTAAATGTTACGGCCCCATCGAATCGATAATTTCGCCAATGTAAAGTAAAAATGACTATATGCGGTAGTTTTATAAAAATTATGACGGACGCCATTAGCAAGGCCGCTACGTCCCACGAACTCAAAGTACGATGCGGATCGGAATGATAATTAGTTTTTTTTTAAATAGGCTTATCGCGGTTAGCGTTTTAGCCACGTAAAAGGTTTTTGACCGTGAAATTCAATGAAACTAAATGACTTTAGTAAGATGGAGAAAAAGTGAAAAAAGGGATCAGGCGAGGAACTATAAGGGCGCGTTCAAATTAGCCGCTGTTAGCCGCAGCGGCAGGCTAGCAGCCGCGCGGCGGCCGCGTGATGGCCGCGCGACTTTCACTTTTCGTACAATTCAAGAAGCGCTGCAGCAGTGCGACAGTCGCGCGACCGCCGCGAGGTTGCAACGCTTCAAGAAATTGTATGAAAACTGGCAATCGCGCGGCTAAATTGAACGCGCCCTAACACTTAAATAAACTGTTTGTATAAATATTATGATCAAAATTATATTATTTTTTGTAGTAATATCCAATTTTTTTTTATACCGGTGAAACCGTGGCTCTGTAATCTGGGATTAGGTTTCGTTTGTACACTCGTTCACCTTGCTAGATTATAGGGGCTATAGTTATCGTTTGCGATTTAAGTGAGTGCAGCGAAGTTGGTGATTTTAATCACATCTTTCTAAATTGCCCTAAATTTTATCGTTCCTCTCTTTTCCGGTATTTTATTCAATCCCATGTGCCTCTTCCCACTTACAACTCTTCTCTATTCACTTATCTGTTTACATTTATTTTAGAAAATAACAAAAAATTTGTAAAGTTATAAAATCGAGAAAAATAATACAAGAAAAAGTACAGCAACAATAATCCGTAAAAAGTACGGTATAGGTACCTATATCGGCCAATGATTGTGTGAGAGTCGAATCCATAAAGGATGGAAAAAAACGAATCCACCACATCTTTGTAATATGTGGACAGAATTTCATTACGTACTTTATTTTACTTTGGTATACTTATAGGAGCTGCACTTACAATCAACATAATATTTCATCGTCAATTGACAGGTTCACAAGTTGTTGAACAAATTGGTCTATGAAGGGTTACTGTTACATTATTATATCTATCTCTGGTATATTCTATGATCCTTCGAACGAATCGATGGTCAGTCAACGCGAACGCATCAACCAACCAACACAAACACAAACGCCAGCGTGGAGAACGTCAAAGCAGACAAAGTGCGAATATTACTTGACGTTTTTTATTAGTTCGTGAAAATTCGTTTCTTTACATCATATATTACTGTGCAAAAATGGATTCTTCTTTGGGGAAAGTGAAAACGAGAACCGTCGACGTTCTACTGCTGCTTGTACTTTTTACTTTTAGCGTAAATGGTAAGTTGCAAATATTCTTACAAACAAAGTATTAAAGGTACATTCTTATTCAGTAATCATAATCCTTAGTGTTTGTGACGAGATGACGTCAATAGGAGGCTAAATAATTGCGTTGTAGCGGTTATTTATTGACTGTCATGATGATCTCGTAAGACGTGAAAATCGAAAGACAGATTTTTAGGTCAAGCTAAAATTTCGTGTTCATGCCGTAGGACGTCGAACGCAACAAGTGTGTTTCACAACACTCAGAAATTGCCGTTTCCTACAGTTTGTTGTTATTATGGCGATGGATTTTCGCGTAGGGTGGAATATTATTTGAGGAGTACCTACGATATTTTCACATTTACTTACTTACATTGTCGCTGATGAGGTTATAACCTTTACAGTACTGTTTTGTAAACTCAAATAGCTCCGAAATTTAGACTATCGAATGTAGTTGTAGGTATGTAAAAACAGAGCATTTCCTGTATGTAAAGACCGGTAAGTTTGACTAGTTTTCTTTTTTTAGTTATATGGGATCAGTATTCATATTCAGACACATGTGCAGATCTAGTAATTTTTTATACACCTGCACTTCTTGTTTGTTCAGAATTATAAAAATGCCTAAGATTTAGAAGGACAGTACTCATGAAGTGAAAATAGAATATAAATTAAAATATTAACTGTTTAAATTACCAACTTAAATAGTTAATATTTTAATTACGCCATAATGGAAACCCTGGCCACACATGTGTTTGTATAAATGCTGTCTCTGACTGATAATACCAAATGAAGTTACCAAAAGATTTGATATTTCATAATTTTTAGTTATTGATCAATGGCTATAAAATAATTTGGCAAATCATTACATTATATGAATTACTCCTTATCAATACAAGTGTGATCATACTTTTTTTAACTGGACTTTAACTACAATCACTTTCTACAAACATTCAACATTTAATAAATATAGGCCGAAATATGAAACAATGCATTGGTGGCGTATGGTGGACAACTGGGTTTTAATTTGAAGATGAAACAGGATTGATGCATTGGTACATTTATCAGTCCAGAGTATTCTCAGCATCCACCTCCAGCACAACATTTAGATTGCGTCAATTCTTTGTCTTGTCCTGGGCAGAATTATCCATGCAAATTAAATCATTAATTAAAAATGCTCAAATTAAGCTATTGAAACAGGACAAAGGTCTACATTTTATGCTTTGAATTGTCGCAGTGGTTTTTTTTTCTTTAACCATATTCACAATCATAATCGTATGGTACAAATTCACTAGCTCAGTATAACCAACACTTACAGCATAGGTTCCCAAACTGTTTGACTCACTACCCATATAGTCAAGACAAAATAAATTAATGCCCACCACCACAAAATCAGAAATAATTGAAAACACGTTTCTTTTTGTATTAACTTTACACAAAAAATTACAAGGAAATAGTATTATAAGGGGTTTTTCAACAAGAATGTTTTGTAAATCAAAATAAAACAATAAATTTAGATGACAATCATTAAAATTTTTATTATATTAAAAAAAGTAAGGTTTGGCAATTATTAATGAGAAATGATATCTGATAAATATCCACCACAACCACAGTTACAGACGTCAATTGTTTCATGAAAGTATTTAAGCATTTTTTGACAAAATGGTGGATCTATTTCGTTAATCACTTCACGAATTTTGAGTTTTAAGACTGCAATTGATTTGATTGGCTCTGTTTAGACTCTGTCTTTAACATAACCCCATGAAATATAATCCAGCAGAGTTAAATCACATGATCGATTTGGCCACTAAACTGCTGAATTTCATGAATTTATGCGATTGGGAAATTTGGTGTCCAATAAATTCATCATTTGGTGGCTGTGTGACTATTTTAAGCCTTTGAAAGTCTTAAAAATGTATATAAAAGGATTAACATTTTTCTTATAATCTATTTCACCGACTAATTCCATAAATGCTGTTGGTTACCAATATTGTATCCGAAACCAAATTGAATGTTTAACTCGGAATAGCTCCAAAAGCCCTTTGATTCGAGAACGATATCCAATCACACTTTTTAAGTTAAAATAGTATAATAAGTTTCACATTAGGTTAAAATATCGAAGAGTTCTGAATCAGGGTCCAGGTGGTTTCTACACACGCAGGGAGAAGAGCTGTCTTTAGAATTTCTCCCTCATGTATCATAAAGGACTGCCTTTCAAATTAGTCACAGGTGGAATTCATGTGAAATTCGTTAACTGGTAAATTTGGATATAATAATCAAAATTAAAATTCACTCAATGAATAAAATTGACAGTTAACTTTGTTGGTAGGTCAATGGGATAACTGGATACTTCTGAAACCGGCACAGCCAAAAAGTAATGCGAAGAATAAGAAATGATATTGTTCTCTTAAGAAATAAATGAACATAAGAAGTTTAGTTAATAATTAACTTAAGGTAGGAATGTCTTAAGTTTTTTATGAGTGACAAATCGTCGCCTTACTTTTTCAAACTCGTATCTTAAAACACATAGTTAATAAAATGTAAAAAATGGATTGTATATGCAAATGTTGCAGGCTGATTTCTCATCACATTTCCTTCATATTTACGCACTGTCTTTTACCTATTCTTAAAGTAATGCATCCAAATTAACACCCTTGATAAGAAATTTAAGATAAATAGAAAGTTTTTCCATCTCCTGAATAATCACTCTTTATAAGACACGAGTTTGAGAAAGTATGGCATTGAAATGGTTTATTTGCAGACTCAAAAATGATTATTATAAATTAAAATAAATAGAAAGCTTCTCCAGCTCCTGAATAACCACTCTTTATAAGACACGAGTTTGAGAAAGTAAGGCATTGAAATGCTTTATTTGCAGACTCAAAAATGGTATATGCTAGGACTTCCGCGCTATAGGATCTCTTGCCAATTTGCAAGGACTGATTCTTCCTATGCCATCACTAACATATATGGCATGTCATAAGTACGATACGTGAAGTAAGAGTACAAAAATCCAGGGTCTAAAAGTAACTTGATCAATTGCTTCGTAAATCAGAGCCCAAAACGAGGTGTTTGAGTTCAAAGTTTAAAAACCTCGTTTATAAAAAAAACCATTGTTATTTGTTGCCAAATAGCCGGTTTCTTTAACATTTGCTAACCCCGTACCTATAACGAATAACGTCATACACAAAAACCCTCGAGATCAAAATATCAAAACGGGTTTTATGTCTTTATTTTTTTATTTATTATTAAATAGGTGCTTGAACAGGTTTGTGCGAGGTTAAATGTATGTGTTTAAGGCCAATGTTTGTGTCCTCTGAGATTTAATTAACGATTGTGTGAAGTTTAAAAGTAGATAAAATGTAAAAATGATAAATGAAAAGTTAAATGAAACAGTCAATGAACGGTCAAATATTACTTGTTGACCATTGACCTACCAACAAATGGACGTCGGGTTCGCGCTAAAAAGTGTCCTCTACCTGTCCACCTATAGGGTGTTAAAATCGCATACAGAGCGTCAATCGCGCAACAGTCTTCGTTTGTTCGCGACTGACAGCGCGGTTGTCAATCATGCAGAACTATTTATTAATAACTTGTAAAAATTACTGCAGTAAAGTGTAAAGACAGGATTTTGTATCATATTTTCACTAAACATATATATTGTGTTATCATAGTTTTCATTTAAAAGTGTTATTTGGTACAGTTTTAAAGTATTTAATTTATATATAAATTAATCGCAAATATAAATTACAAAAGCAAACAAAATAATCAAATAGCAAACTGTCCTGATGTAAAGAGACCCTTTACGTCAATTTCAAGAAGCCTAAATAAACTTCTTGGTCATTTTCAATTGTTCGAACTATAAGCGATTGAAATATTTGGAACAAAGAAACTATAGAGTCGTGTTGATTTTAACCTTATTTTTATAATGACTTTTTATTAAACGTTAGCAATAACTAACAAAATATTGTTGTACCCGTTGTACTGCTTGGAATTACCTATCAGAAATCAGAAAATACATTTGCCCGAAATAACGTTAACTCGAATTTTCATAATGTCAAATGTATTTTTTTAGGAATATTACAAAACAAAAGCTAATTTTGGATTTGTGTTCTCACAAAGCCAAAATTAGCTTTTACTTAGTTGCATCAAAATCACTTGAAAGCGTAACGGTTTTATTATAAATCGGTTTTCGGAATTACGATATTTGAGTTTATGTTTAGTTGTAATATCGCTACATTTCTTATTGTACAAGCTTATTTTCACATTTGTAGTAATATTTGTATATATGTATCTGCCCAACTCTTTATTATATCTTTAAGTGAATTTGTACGAAATTCGACATAATAATAAATTAATTAATATTTACGAGAAAGGCTACTCCATTACTCTTATGTTCAAGTATTTTTCAGTCGAAGCTAAATATGGTGCATTTTGTTAAGTTTCCAGTAGAAGCTGAATATGGTGTTATACTGAATATTTTTGCAAGTAAAATTAGGCAGTACTGCAATGACGTTACAACTTAAATTAAATGTTTTAGTATTTTATATTTCATTAGATGTCACTACGTTTGTATAGGTTAACTTCGGACATTTTTTTTAGTGGTTTTTGTATTTGACCCGATGTCCATTTGTTGGTAGGTCAATGTTGTTGACGATATATTTATTAAAAAAAGCAATCTATTCTTCTTCTCTTTTAATAGTTTGTCTTAACTTTAACAGCATAGTTCTCAGCCAGTCTAACGATTTGTATCTGTCACTTTCGCCCATTCATTTCTCATGCGCCCTACACTCATTTCTAGTCAGGCAGAGTAAGGTAGTGAGGAAAAACATAACATTAACATAGAGGCCCGACCTGTTTACGAATCCACATGTGAATGACTTGCCTTATTTTCATCTTGAGTAGAGAATATTTTTAAAGAATTGCACATCGATCTTGCAAGTTCATGGATATTCAGATCATTAACATGTACTGATTCCTTGATAATTTCTAAATTACCAGGACAATTGTTGAATCAAAAACACCTGCGGAAGTTGGATACTGGACAAAGAAAGAACTATAATGATGACCTCGAGAATTAATTATGATTCTAACTTTGATAAATTCCATAATTAATTATACGTCGTTATTATTCGTCGGGCGCAGTGCCACTTAGATTTTTGCCATTTAAAACTGTGTGGCGCAACAACTGCTATGATAAAAACAATCATTGATTCATAATTCCAGAATCGAAAAGAAACAAAGGACCACTTTTGAAGCTCTTACCAATAAACCGTAGCTTCATTATTCTTAGCAAAATTTATTAGTCGACCGAACTTCATATAAAAACACTTACGATTCACCTAGGGAAGGCTTAGAATTGGTAAAAAAAATACATGTGTGACGATTTTATTTTTGGTTTTTTAATTTCGCAAAATTTTACAAGAGACACAAGTGTTATATAACAAATACCACCGATTCATCTACAATGGGGTCAATGAACGAATACGTTATTCCGTCTCAGTCGTTTGCGTTGGGTCAAAATGTACAGTAGGGTCATTGTTGTATTGTCAAAAGATATGAAAAACAGTACAATACATGAAATAGTTCAGATGAGTGCACGCTATGATCACTTTTAATTGGACAGGAAACAACAATTTAGAATTAAGGCAGATCGAGTTCACACACTCTGCGTGTTGTTTACGTTTTGTGCATCGCTCTCATGATCTACACTTTCATTGTTATTAAACAGTTTCGTATTTTGGGGGAAACCGCACAGAGAGACCTTCAAAACATTGCGATGTTTATTGTTACAATAATATGTTGTGTTTTTTTTTATCATAAATCACATCGACCATATCTTTATTTCCCATGATATATCGAACCTCGCACAGAATGTGTATCAAAAGACGAAATACTAACATAAACGTAAAATAAAAGGACGATTAACCTACACTTGTACGGGATCAGTTATGTAAAATTTCACATGTAAAAAACAAAAATAATCGATAACACGAGTGCATGAAATATGTACGTGTCATAATTACAAATGGGAAAAACTGCTTACTTTTTTAAACGTTTAAAAGATGTGCTTTTTTTAATCGTTCTTTTTTAAACGCTTCTTAGTTCGAAGCTTCCAAAATCGCGCATGGAGCAAAATCGCGCAAAAGCGCATAGACTTTTATGTTAAAAAAGCTTGCAACGTTGTGCTGATAGCGAAAAGCACGAGCAGACTACTAAATGTTTTAATAAGTTGATTTGTAAAACATGAGTTACATGAGTTATGTTTTTATTTATAAAATATTATCCATATTGACGAATTAATTTGTTTAGGAAACATAGATAGCGAGACTTGAAACATAAGCACGATGTTAACGCTTACGCTTAAATTGAAAAGCGTGCTTTTTTTAAAAACAATATTGCAATATATAATATACAAAAAAGCAAACTTTTTTAAGTGCTTTTCGTTTAAACGCCCATCTCTAGTTGTAATGTCTGCGTGGGGAACTTGCTAGCGACTGTCGCTTTCGAACTTGTCATCATTCCGCCTGTGACGCCTGTCCGTGTCTTCAGTCTTCCGAAAAGCTCCATCCGCTCGCGAGTAGATCTAATCTATAAAATATTGCAATTTTAAGTAAAATAAAAACTATATTATGATTTATTTTATACGTAGTAGATCGAAAACTATCTTCTTCTTCTTCTTGGGGTTCCTCTCCTATCGGTGGTTGGACAACATCATGACTATCCTGACTATTGGCCGCTCTAAAGACCTAGGTGGTACTGCAGCCGAACCATTCCCTCAAAATTTTCAACCAGAAGTGCCAGCCAATACTTCTTTTCCAACGATTTTGCCTTGGATAATAAGCTGGAGTAATTTGTACTTATTGTTCCTCATAATGTGGCCGAAGTACGAAATTTTCTTGCACTTAATGGTGTTTATAAGCTTCACTTTTTTCTTCCGTTTATTGAGTTCTTCTACATTTGTGACCCGGTCACGCCACGAGATTCTCAAAATACGGCGGTAAATCCACATCTCAAAAGCCTTCAGCTTCCTTGTTATGTTCTTTGTGAAAGTCACTGTTTCTATGCCATACAGTAGGACTGAGAAGACGTAACAACGTACAATGCGCAATCTCAACCCGAGACTCAGGTTTCTATGACACAGCACTCTATTCTTTTTGAAGAAATTTGAACAAGCCATTTCGTTGCGGACTTTAATTTATTGAGCATGGTTCCATCCTCTATCCCAACAAATAGCTTTACCTTGTGGCTTCTTTGAGATCAACAAGTATTTTGGTCTTTGCAATGTTGATGCGTAATCCCTGTTCCATTTCCATTCTATTACCCACTTCATCGACCATACTAAACAGTTTCTGTAGCGATTACAGATCTCCAGAGACTAAGACGGTATCAACCGCGTAGCGTATGTTGTTGACAGGGGTGCCGTTCACAACAACACCAAAGCCCAAAATTATCCGATGACACTTTCTTGAAAATCTCTTCATTATTAATTAAAGAATATTAAAGAGAAGTGGCGCTAATGTACAGCCTTGAAGTAGCTTTGAACAAAAACTAGCGCGGTGAGAAGGACAACTACGGAGAGAACGAAATTCCGCATCTCGATTGAGAATTAATATATATATCTAAGGTACTCCTCAGGTGCCGCCGGGTCGAACAAAATGGAGAAAAGAGTTGTTATAATTCTTAAAAGGAACACAAAAGACGGAAATGTGGTCATACTTACGCAATGCTAAGACGAACCTAACACAAGTTAAGTGACTCTGACTGTCTTAGCTTTTTGGGTAGGTGTAGAAGTGTCATGATATAAAATAACGATTGCTCATCCATGAAAATCCTAAGAGCTATAGTTGTGGGGATTCCCTGCATTTTTAATATGCACGTATTGTCGCCAAGTTTTTTATTCATCGCAAATCAAGTTATGGAGCTTTTAACTCCTATTTTGTTGTGGCCGGTTTAGGACCGCGGTTGTATTAAGGAATTTTTGAAGATACATATCTAGTCCGCAGGTTTTACCTTGCATTTCTGTGTTTGTGAACAAACTAAAGCCGAGAGAGAATGGCGCTGGAATAGAGGAGGAAAACAGTCGAACTACAACGTGTAATAAGAATTTTAATTAATTTGTCTTCGTGCGCAATCGTAGCTCATAAACGATATCCCGACCTTAATGGTGCTGTTTTTACATAAAATTGTATTTAACGGTTGTCTTGTTGGTTCTTGTACCTTGTTATTTTTGTTACAGCATATACTACATACACGGTGGAGGGTACGGACTACAGTTTCCCGACTCCTCACTTGCATAGTCTCGATGTCCGGGTGCGCCGAGACACCGCCGCCCCCGGTGCTGCTGTTGCCGCGGCTGCCCCCGCATCTCCCACCGGCTCAGTACCGATTACCATGGCGACGCCAGGCAAACCGCCCCACTCCTCCAACGAACCAAATCGCACAGAACCAAATCGCACAATAAACACCAGTAAGTACAACTCCTCAAACAATCTTGTTTGTTCAACGATTAAGCACTATGAATTCTGGATTCCTAAGATGCCATAAAATATTGAAGTTTTACAAATAAAATTAAAAAGAAAGCATTTATTGTGATTTTGACATTGATCCGGTGGGGCTCTTGTTTTTTTACTGTTTATATTTGTTTCTTTAGTATTAAAACTATATATCTCCGACCTACTTGCGACATAACAGACGAAAAAATATTAATAAAAAACAATTTTAAACCATGCTTAAAATACAAAAAATTTAACATATTTATAAACTAACATAGCCTATATAAGTCTGTTATAGGGATGTTCGCGCATCATAAAATCATCAAAGCGGAGATTATGTTTTTTGTTTAACGCTTTAGAGGAGTGAAATGACTTAATTCTTGGATATTTAATATTTAGCACTTTCAAGATATATGTTCTGTATACAACACAAATAAATACAGTTCAACAAGTAGAATTGAATAAAAAAATACTTTCCTTAAATGCAATCTCGCGTTAAAAGCGCGCTAAAAGTAGCTGCGTGTAACCGCTTTAAAGCCTTCAAAAAACACTAAAACATTTGTTTAAATCATTCTTTATGTTCATCTTCAACCATTTTTATACTTTAACTTGTACGGTTGCAGTATCTACAAAGGTACTGTCACTAAAAATATTCAATTTATAGAATGTTTTTGTAAAACAATCACATAAAAATAAATGGCTGTAATTTTAATTTAATTAAATGATTAACAAAGAAACTGTTGATACTTAAAACAAAGTTTCGGCACACGGTTTTTACGCCGACCAAGTTTATGTATGACGGTGGCGCGGCACACATGTCTAGTTTGTTATGATTTATATACGGATACTTATTATGCAAAATAAATGCTTATAATTGTTATAATGTTATTGTGAAAAAATACGTCTAGGATCTAGGAACGAGGAAATACGATCTAGGAGTAACAAATTTTTCAAAATAGGTTCCGGTATCTACCTACTCAATCTAGTTGGACTTCGGAACGTAGCAAATTAGTGGTCAGGTTATTCGGCCTGTGAATTTATTTATGTTTTAATAAAGTTCTTCCTTTAATGTTTTTATTTTAAATCTTTTGTTTTGGCATAAAATTAAACTCCAAAATACCTCGCTATCGGTATTGGTTATCGCGAAATAAAAATACTGTATAGAGGTTAATTATTTTAAACAAATGTCAACTTATCTCATATGTACACACTTACCCGGTTATCGTGAATAGCTATCTACAAAAGGTCAATGTACTCTCACTTCGATGTTTAACATTTACACATATTTCTTAAAGCACACTCTTCTTAGTTTACACATTTAGGGAGTCATTATAGTTATTAGAATAATATGGTTACAGTATGCAGTATGCTTGTAAGTGGTTAATTAATACTTTCTAGAATTAACTAGTAATAGAAAAATTAAAGTCAAAGTCTGTATTTGGATTCGCTATTAGTTACTTTTGCAGACTGCCGACCTAATTGCCGGAGCCGTTACGCAACTTTAAACTTCTACAAAAACGTTTAAATGGCCATTATACATGTAACTTAAACTCAAAGATAGGCTGTATTTTCCATTGATACGTTGGTTGGGTTGTTTTAGTGTTGGTTTGAAGGAACCTGAATATGGAACCAACAGACCACAAAATGGAACCCCTTAACTGCGCTGCTAAATTATTAAAAGATTTTGTTGCTGATTTGAAAAAACTTTCTTTCTTGTTTCACACAAATGTTACAGTAATTCCTAAAATATAAAAATCCTTGAAAGATCATGGCCCATAATCTGACCCGGTTAATGGATGTTATGTACAAAAACCACATTCGTTTTAAATTGTGCAGTTGTAAACTACTTCTAGGCTATGTAAAAAATTTTGAAAATCAACTACGTTAACATCTAATATGGCAATAACGATTTAATAATGTGAAACATGTTTTAAATTGTGTGAAAACTTTTAATTAGGTTATAGTCAGACTCTCTGTCAATTTTGACAGTAAGTCTTTAAATATCGTCACACTCATGCACGCAGCCTGTGCGATCGGTTTAGTAGGAAAAATATCGGAATCGTCCTCTGGGTGTTCATTGAACAACAATAAATACAAAATACACGAATATTTCACACTAACGTACATTTTTAAATTAAAAATACATTTTTTCCCCATAACTTCCTCACTCACAGTCCTAATTCAGTACTCACAGTAAAACGAACACATACCATTGTAAGTACACATATTATGCTATAAATCTAGCCATATGTCATTTATGTACGCCGTAGGTATGTTTTTTATACTTTGGTGGGCGACGATCTTTGATAAGTGCATTATTTAAAAATTTTAAAAACTATTTTAACTGGTAACAGGAAAATGTTAGATCTCGTGGTATTCTTTAATACCCTTTTTTGCAATAAAGAATTTGTTAACGAGTTTGGGGCAAAACCCACATTTATGTTATACCCCACTTCCTTAAAGCAGACGGTTTGGATTATTTCATATCTCTGTATTGAAAAGTAGAAAATAGCCATTAGCTTAGCAATTAGTGCTAATTTGCTAAATGAGTGGTTCTGAAAATGGCTAACTCTTTAAAAATTCCACCATTAACCAATTCTTGAAATGACCAATTCTATATAAAATGCAATTGTATAAACTGTGTCAGTTTGCGTACGGATATGAAAGCAAGTTTACCCCTGAAAAAAAATCCTGTGATGTGCCTTTAGCTACAGCTAAGGTAAGGATCCACAAAATTATTCTCCATTAAGTTTAATTAATAAAGCGTTAAAAATATGTAATACATATATTTAACTACTGTTAAATTTATAGTGTCGACCTAGTTGAAGTATGATTGCTCCTCACGCTGAAGGTTATTACTCCGAATCAAAGCACGTACTTGTAGTGTTGTTGAATCCTGTGCAGTTTTTATTATCAATTATCGCTTCTTCCGGTGAATATAAAAAACTATAAAAATCTTAGCAAACATATCAATTTCCTAACCTTCATTGGGCGAATGTGGTGAGTACTGCCACTGTCCAGGTTTATGCTGTTGTCATAAAACTGAATACAGTCTCATGGATGTCTCTAGGTGATTCCACGAAATAACCTGAAACCTGGTCACGTCATCGTTTCGTTATACGCAGTTAAAATATGAAACCCGATACCCCTCATTATCTTGTTTACATTAAGTGCTAATTGCACAGGTGTCTCACACGAATGCCAAACACATGATACACGACTTGAGCAAGCGTTATCTTTATAATTTAGATTTAAAAAATCATATTATTATATTAATTCGTGATATAATTTCAGGATTAAAATTAGCAGGTTCTGTGAAAGTCCCACATTAAAAGAGTTTTCGTGAAAAATCTTTATATTTTTTACGTGTTAATAGTAGTTGTGAACTTCTTTTGCTACTTGAATGGGGACATTTTGCTTACGATCTGGTTGCTTCAATGAATGTGATAAGTTCACTGTAAATGCTTTTTTTATTTACAATAACAACTTTTATGTACATGCAAAACAATAATAATATTGATAAAATTTGTTATAAACTAGTGAATATCTTAAGTGCTAAACTTGCATTTGAATGAAACCTGCAATCTCTTACGACCAAACACGAATTTATTATTGGCTGCAATTAGGAGACATGATTTTCTAGCTAATATGAATTTTATAAATCCACAAACATTTTTTCTGCGGTGGATATGCTGTTACAATCGAATCTCAATTTGTGACTCCGCTTTTTTATTTATGCATCCATGTTTAACAATAATTAACAAAACAACAAACACTGTCTTCAATTTTAATGGCATTAAAAAAATTGCATATACTCAGAAACAGTTCCATCACGCACGAACGCACTTGCGCATATTATAAAAATAATCATATCCAGTACATTTTTCACCGATTTCTAGCTACGCTTGATTGCAAATATTCCTAATGTAAAACGCACGATTCATGAACTACGCGCTATGTTTGTCGTGTTTAGATTGCTTACATATCACACTGTTAATACAATAGTGTATTAACTTAAACAGTGCGTTTTTTTCAGAATCGAAAAACGTATATGCAATTTTTTACTGGTACCAATTGACGGGACTAACGAAACGAATTTGTTGGCCTTGTGGTAAGCAATACGCCTGCCCATAATAGTGGCAGTGCCACGTAGAGTTTTCAATTACAAAGATCTGAGGGGCACTGCCACTGCGCCCGTGACCCTGAGACATAAGTTGTCAAGTCCCATGTGCCTGTAATTTCACCCGTACCCTTACCCTTCAAAATTGGAATGCAGTAATGTTCACATTACGACTTGTATATTATGTATAGGTTAAAGTTTCAAACATTTCAACGACGTGTAAAACATTTCGTACTATAAATCTGTACTTGAAAAGTTACCATATCTAGTTATTGCTGATCTGTGTAACACGTTTCACTGTCTTTGCAGGTTCAACAGCGCACTGATTGGGTTTTTGAAGTAATGTTTCAAATTTACCCATATTAACAAAACAATAACGACACGATCAAATTTGCTTGTTTTTTATGTTTTTTTTATAGTAGCCTAATTTATTTTTAATCATTGTAAGTAAACAATACTTATGAATTAGTTGAGAGTGCAGCACACTCGCGTATGCAGAATATATTTATTAATGTTTTAGTTACTCCAAGTTCTCACTTAAGAGAATTGTAAATTCTTATGAGAAAAATTTTCTTAAATCTCACTTCAAAGTTTATTACAGACATCTAAACAATTTCCTACTTGCCAACACATTTAAAAGTAAAAGAGATATAATAGTTTCACATTTTTGCATAAGATTTTTTTGTCCAGAACTTGTTCACAAAAAGTTTGTCTAGTTTTGAGTTGAGTAGATATCTTTTGATTGTTTCTTACAATATTCTAGCGACAGTTTTATTAACGTGAAAAGAATCTGATTCTTCGTTCAGGAATAGTATAGTTTTGAATTTCACATAGTTTGTGTTACAATATTATTGTAACAGCAGTGCGGTTTGTATGTAGAGACATTTTAATCCATAACCAGTCTGTGTTGCCTGTGATGACTAACTTAAGGT